GTGCCTCTGGGGGGGGGGGCCCGCCCCCGGGCCCGGCCCCCCCAGGTCCTGATGCCGGGAGCCCCGGGCCCGCACCTCGGCCTGGTGCAGGCCCAGGCGTGGTGCTGCGTGACCACCTCTGCCCTCGAGCCTTAAATTCTCTTTCTGCATGTTTGCCTCCGCCCGCGGCATTGGGCACGGGGAGGGCCCTGCTCCCCGGCTGCACCCGTACCCAGCCTGCGGATGCCTTGCAGGAGTGGGCAGAAGCGCTGAAAGCGAATCAATTAATGCGCCACAGAAGGCGATGGTTATCACAAGTTCCCAGACGGTGGCGGGTCCCTTCCCGGGTCTGGGACTTTTTCGTGATGCCCCCTGTTCTTCTCCATCTAATGTGGGGTATTATGTGGCCCTCTATACCGTGGAGGCAGGGACTCAATCATTTCTTGTCTGTATTGGAGCACTTACCCAGTTCTCATTCCATGTGTTGTTTTGTTTGTAATCCTCACCGGAAGATATTTTTCCATTGATTTTTAGAGAGGGGGCGGGGGGAGAGAGAGAGAAACATCTGTGAGAGAGAGACACATTGATTGGTTGCCTCCAGCATGCGCCCCAGCCGCGTCCAGGAGTGAACCTGCGCCCAGGTACAAGCCCTTGACCGGAAAAGGAACTGCGATCCTTCCTTGCGCAGGCCCATGCTCTACCACTGAGCCACACGGCCAGGACTCTTCCTGTGTTTGACGTAGGCCGCACACCAGTGATTGGGATGGACTAGGTACTTACTGTATAAAGTATTCAAGCTGTATACCGACTGACAGCCACGGAGGTAACCAGTGAATAGTTTAGAATAAAAAGTGTGAGCAAAAAAGTAGGCAGTTTTCAAGTTGGAACAGAGAGAGTAGAAGTGCCATGTTCCCAAATAGGGAAAACCTGTGACATCTGTGAGACAAGTACTTAACCTCATTTTCTTAACCTCATTTTCCAGGTTGCATTGATGTGTTCGTGAGGCATTCTTGCGGTAACATTAGGAGGTTGAAAATGTGGGTTTAGTATCCCATGTCGGGAGGGTCAGGGCTAGACGTTTCCATCTCTGTAGCATATTAGTCATCTGCCTGGTACTTGTAGTCAGTCAGGGGTTTCACAATTAGCTAAGAGACAGATGTGAAAAGGAGCAAGGGAAGGCAGTGGAGTTGTCAGAAATTTGGGAGATCACGATTGATCTCTAGAGTAGAGAGTTCTTTACTGCATTTAAAGACAGAATAGTGGAATCATCAAGGGCTGGGAGTTGGAGATTGCAGATGTAAAAGAAAGGGTACTAATAAGTTGGGGTCCTGGGGGAGTTTGGAGCATACTCCTTTGCTGTCCTTGCAAATTGTGCGGACACTTGAGAAGATAAGGGAGTCAGGATGATGGGTGTGAACATTCAGAGAAGTTCTTTTTGAGACTGGGAGAGTCGGGGAGGGGGAGAGGAATGATGCGCTCCCCTGGGCAGGTGGTTCTGGAAGCTTAGGGATTTGAGAACTCAGGTCGTTTGTTGCATTTGTCAGTCAGGGTCCAGTTGGAAAAGGTGAAATCACATTATTATTTGAACAGAATTTAATATGAAGAACTAGTTAAACAGTTGTTGGAGGAACAAAAAGCAAAAGGTAAACTGATGGAAGTAGCTACAACACTTAGCTAGGGCTGGGGATTATCATGGCCTAAACTTGGAGCAGAGGCTTTATAAAGCAAGGACTCAGACCTCTGGAATTCAGAGGAGGAGCCCTCTTATTGCTAGATTTCAGCCACCTGGAGGGGGCCTGCCTGGTTATTGCTGGTACCTCCAGGGTTGGAGGAGATAAGGCTGGTCAGGGGAGTACTAAAGACTGGGACCCAGGGCCCCTGAAGTTTGAAAGCCCATTGCTGGGGCAGCAGTGATGGGAACAGTAAGATAACAGGAAATAGTGCGTTCCTCTCAGCTCTCACTGCCTTTACCCTCCAGATTCGTATCCTTTGGTACATGGACCTCAGGGCTCCACGGGTTATTGGTGAATATTCACAGGGAGGGATATGAAGATATTTTGATGATCTGATCATGGCAACAGTAACAATAATAATTATTATTAGGTGAACCAGAATGAAAGAGCCCGGAAACTACACATTTGATCCCCCTCTTTTTTTTTTTTTTAACATATTTTATTGATTTTTTACAGAGAGGAAGGGAGAGAGATAGAGAATTAGAAACATTGATCTGCCTCCTGCACATCTTCCACTGGAGACGTGCCCGCAACCCAGGTACATGCCCTTGACCGGAATCGAACCTGGGACCTTTCAGTCCGCAGGCCGACGCTCTATCCACTGAGCCAAACCGGCTTCAGCACATTTGATCCCCCTTTTGTCTGTCCTTACCTCTTGCTACTATATCACCTGTTTACTCCCCTCTAGTCAGACATGCCAGGCAGTCTCTCATCTCAAATCTACCAGCCCTTTCAGATCTATTCCAGTGGTCATCTCTATGTTTAAAGAAAGATCAAGGATATAATTTTTATATGCTTTGGAAAGCCTAAACTCTCTGTGTGGAATTAAATTTAAAACCTTTATGGTATAATACAAGTTCAAATAATTTCTAGAAGTTCTTGAATATAAATATCACCTAAGCTTATAAACCATTGTTTACCTTGATTTTTTTTCTTGCTTCCACCATGCGTGGTTTTGCCTTTCTGTTAAACCACATTTTATGTTATCCTTCATATTACACTTAACATTATCTGCTGCGTAGGAGGATTACCTCATCTTTTTCAGTGTCATATGTATGAAATGCCAAGATGAGAGAATTCTTTTTAGAATATGGTGGCTTTAAGGCCATTGTGGTTTGTGTAATTGCCACTCCTAACATAACTTAGGGATTTCCAATTATAAACTTTAGAGGGATCAGAATATAAATACTCAGCACATTAATATTTGTTTCCCTCTTACTTAGATAATATACATTAAAGCAAGTCTGATTTTGCCAGATTGAAGTAGGTTACCTATTTATCCTTCTTTTCTCACGTTACTATTACACTGGTAAGAACCAGGCCAGGAAAGCTGAATTACATGAAGTAATTATGTCAAGTCATTAAGCAACTCAAACATTGCTTATCATTTTGAAGTAAACTGTTGTAATTTTATCGGTCTTATTTTCCCCCTGAGAACAGTACATCCTTATATTCTACTTTTGATTTAAATTTTAACTTTTTTAATGGAAGTATATCCCAGTTTATATATAAATATACCTAGTGATATTAAAGTAATTTCATTCCAGATTTTCTTCAAATATTTATATGGATTTCACATGGTTTTATAAATCTATTGGATTATAAAGTTATCCTTATATTCAAAAATAAAATGTTTTCCCATTCATTTTGTTCTTTCAAATTTACTGAGGAATAACTGATGTTAAATCTTTTTTTGTCTTAGAAGTGAGTGTTTTATCAAGGGATATTTGTACTTTTTTTCAGGAATAGCTTCACCATGAGAAATCTGAAGTTACTTCGGACCCTGGAGTTCAGGGATATTCAGGCTCCAGGGACACCTCAGTGCTTCTCTTTCCGAACTGAGCGGAGCACAGTGCTCATTGGCTCAGAACATGGACTGGTAGAAGTGGACCCTGTCACAAGAGAAGTGAGTTACTGATTGAGAATGCAAGCATTTGGCATGACCGCTGACTTGTTTTTTTCCAAACTTGCTTCCCCCAGATAGTCTTTAAATAGTACTGAATTTTTATATTCCTAAATGAGAACTCCCTTTGTTTTACAGTGATGTCATAGTAGGTGTAATTTAAATAGTAACCTATCTTTTACTTTGCTGCTGTTTTAAATATGAGTTGGCAAAACTGTGACCTCATATTTTATGTGGGTACCCTACTTTTTACCCTCTCTACCTTGTAATTTTTTGTAACAGTGGTTCTCAACTAGGGATGCAACTGAAAATTGCCATTTTAAAACTGTTTCAGCCTCCATCTCATACCAATTAAATCAGAATCTTCACTCCAGGATCTTGAGCGTGTGTGTGTGTATGGTGGGTCAAAAGTAGGTTAATGGTTGTTTATATGGAAAATAATACAATTAATAAATAATAATACAAGAATAAACTCTGGACAGAAGAAAGATGGTGGAGGAATAGGAGATCTTTCTCCTCCCTCCTCCCAGAATCTAACTAGAATTAGAACTACAGTGGGAAATATTCACCCTGAAATACCTGCTTTAGACAGAGGGAAGAGACTCTTAAACAAGGAAGGCCAGAAACCACCTCTAGACTTGTAGGAAGGGCAGGGTTGAGAGAGGCCTTTGGTTGAGCTGTCAGTAGCCATGGGCCAAGGGTGAGGAGGGTTCCCTGGGAGAGAGGCTAGGACAGCTAGAGAGTTGAGCCACTGGGCAGTAGCTGCCCACACAGCAACCGGAGGTGCATAGTGTTAGGTGCTTCTAACAGTCAGAGCGCTGAGCAGCTTGGCAATAGCCACCCACGTAGCAACCAGCGCCTGGCTTCTATCAGCCAGGGAGCCAGAGCTCAGGAATTCAGTGCCCAGTCTCTCACCCAAGTTTTGTTGGAGTGGGAGGTGCATGGTGGAGTTGCCTGAGGAGAGACAGGGGTAGAAGTGGTTGGGGAGCGTGGCAGGGAGGACAGCTGCCGGGATATCTGTGCTGTCCCTCCCATTCTTCCATATTACAGCAGTATTTCTCCTGAGACGCACAAGCCCCTCCCTATACCAAAAGCCTGGGAAAAGGCAATTACCCCACCCCTTGGGATACAGCTCAGGAGGCAGCAATCTCAGGGAGCATCAGTGGCTGACTATCTTGCATGAATATTCCCCCTGTTTTCTTTCCCTTTTCTTCCCCTTTTCTAGTATTACTTAATTTTTATTTTATTATTAGTAGTAGTAGTATCTTTTTTGTTTATTCTTGTTGTGTTGTCTTTTCTCTTTCCTAATTCTCTTTTCTTTGGGGTTGTTTTTGCTGTTGTTGTAGGGTTCTTTTGTATGTTTTGTTCTGTTCTGTCAGCACTTGCCTGGCATGGTCAGGCTTGAGCATCACAGTTATCCAGCCTGAGAGGAATCTCACCCGTAAATGGGAAAACAACGGTCAAGACCCAATTACAACAGAAGATCCCAAATCACAAAAGGGTCACTACTAGAGCATGCAGCTCAGTAGTTTAGGGAGTCTGCACCACTGGGTCCAACAGGACATTTACTACAAAAGACCACCCCTGCTAAGACTAGAGTCATAGCAGGTATTTTAATACATAAAAACAAACTCAAAGGTACAGCTTAAAGGGGAAGACAAAGAACCCTTAAATGAAAGAAAAGGAGGAATCTCCAGTAAAAGATCTAGAAGAGATGAAGGTAAGCAATTTACCAGACATAGAGTTCAGAGTAATAGTTATAAAGATGCCCAAGAAACTTAGTGAAAACTAAAAGGAACTTAGTGGAAACTATGTCAGCACGAAAAAGACTATAGAAACAATGAATAAGAACCAATTGGAAATGAAGCACATTGTATTTGATATCAATAGTACACTGGGAGGAATTAAAAGCAGGATTGATGAAGCAGAGGATTGAATCAGCAATTTGGAAGACAAAGTGGAAAGACATTCAGAGAAACAAAAGGCAAAAAACATTTAAAAAGCATAAGAAGAAGTTAAGGGAACTTTGGGACAACCTGAAACAGAACAACAACTGCATTGTTGGGGTACCAGAGGGATAAGAAAGTGAGCAAGGGATGGAGAACCTGCTTGAAGAAATAATGACAGAAAACTTTCCTAACCTGGTGAAGAGAAAAGTTACACACCTTCAGGAAGCACAGAGTGTCCCAGTCAAGAGGAACCCAAAGACCCACACCAAGACACATCATAATTAAATGTTAAAAGTGGCACTAGCCAGTTTGACTCAGTGGATAGAGTGTTGGCCTGCGGCTAAAGGGTCCCAGGTTCAATTCTGGTCAAGGGCACATGCCTGGCTTGTGGGCTCAATCCCCAGTGGGGTGTGTGCAGGAGGCAGCCAATCAATGACTCTCTCATTGATGTTTCTATCCCTTTCTCTATCTGAAATCAATAAAAAATATTTTTTTAAAAACAAAAGCCATAAGAGACAAAGAAGGTCACTATATAAGGCTAGATGGATCATTCCAACAAAAGGATATAATCCTGTTAAACATAGGCACCCAATATAGGAGCACCTAAATATATTTTTTAAACTGGACACTGTTAAAGGAGAGATAGACAACAATACAGTCATAGTAGGGGACTTTAACACCCCATTGACATCACTGGATAGATCTTTCAGACAAAAAATCAACCTGGAAACAGTGACCGTAAGTAATGCACTAGATCAGATGGAGTTAATTGATATTTACAGAACATTTCACCCCAAAGCTGCAGAATATACATTCTTCTCAAGTGTACATGGAACATTATCAGAGATAGACCACATGTTAGAACACAAAACAAGTCTGTACAAATTCAAGAAAATTGAAATCATGTCAAGCATCTTCTCAGATCATGATGGCATGAGGCTAGACATCAACTACAATAAAAACACCCCAAAACATTCAAACACATGAAGGCTAAAGAGTATGTTATTAAATAGTAAATGGGTTACCAATGTGATCAAGGAAGAATTTAAAAAAATACTGGAAACAAATGAAAATGAACAAAATCTAGGGACACAGTGAAAGCATTCCTGAGAGGGAAGTTCATAGCATTACAGGCCCACCTCAAGAAGCAAGAAAAAGCTCAAATAAACAATCTAACCCTACAACTTAGAACAATAAGAAAACCCCAGAGGAAGTAGAGTGAAAGGAATAATAAAGATCAGGGTGGAGCCCTGACTGGTTTAGCTCAGTGGATAGAGTGTCGGCCTGCGGACTGAAGAGTCCCAGGTTCGATTCCGGTCAAGGGCATGTACCTTGGTTGTGGGCACATCCCCAGTGGGAGGTGTGTAGGAGGCAGCTGTTTCTCTCTCATCGATGTTTCTCTCTATCCCTCTCCCTTCCTCTCTGTAAAAATTCAATAAAATATGTATTAAAAAATAATTAAAAAAAAAGATCAGAGTGGAAATAAATTACATGGAGGATAAGTAAACAATATAAAAGATCAATGAAACCAAGAGCTGGTTCTTCAAAAAATATAAACAAGATTATCAAAAAGATAAAAAAGATAAACACCTTAGCCAGATTCATCAAAAAACAAAGAAGTGCTGGCCCAAGTAAATGAAATCAGCAATGAAAGAGACGAAGTAACAACTGATGCCACAGAAATACAAAGGATTGAAAGAAAATACTATGAACACCTATATTCCAACGAACAGACAGCCTCAGTGAAATTGACAAATTCCTTGAAACACAGTATTCTAAAACTCAATCAGGAGGAATCAGAAAACCCTGAATATGCTGGTAATAACTAATGAAATTGAAACAGCAATAAAAAAAAGGAAAACCTCTCAGCAAACAAAAGACTGGCCTGGATGGCTTCGTAGGTGAGTTTCACCAAACATTCAAAAAAGAACTAACACCTGTTATCCTCAAACTATTCTAAAAAATTCAAATGGAGGAAGGCTTCTAAGCTCCTTCTATAAGGCCAGCATTATCCTAATTCCAAAACCAGGTAGAAACAAAGAAAGAAAATTAGAGTCCAATATCTTTGATGAACATAGATGCTAAAAGTCTAAACAAAATATCAGCAAACCAGATTTAGCAACACATTAAAAAGATTCACCATGAGGAGGTGGGATTTATTCTGGGGATGCGAGGCATGTACATTATTCACAACTCAAATGTGTTATGTCACATAAACACAATGAAGGATAAATATCACCTGGTCATATTGATAGACTCAGAGAATGGATTCGACAAAATCCAGCACCCATTTTTTATTAAAAACTCGGCAAAGTGGAAATAGAAGGAGCATACCTCAAAATACCAACATAATAAAAGGCCATATCTGACAAACCTACAGCCAACATCATACGCAATGGGCAAAAACTAAAATACATTTCCCCTAAAACCAGAAACAAGACAGGGTTGTCTGTCCACTTTCACCGCTCTTTCTCAACATAGTACTGGAAGTCTTAGTTACAGCAATAAGACAATAAGAAAAAATAAAAAGCATCCAAATTGAAAGAGGTTAAGTAAAACTGTTATTATTCACCAATGACATGATATTGTACATAGAAAACCCTAAAGATTATACCAAAAACTACATTTATTTTTGCAAAGTAACAAAATTAACATCCAAAAATCAATAGCATTTTTGTACACCAATAAAGAACTCTCCGTAAGAGAAACTTAAAAAAAATCTCATTTACTATTGCAATGAAAAAAATAAGAAACCTAGGGAAAAAATTAACCAAAAAGGTAAAAATCCTATACTCAGTAAGCTATAGGTAATTGAAAAAAACAAAACAAAACAAAACAAAAAACCAGGAAAATACAAACAGTAGAAACATATACCTTGTTCATGATTGGAAGAATTGATCATTAAAATGCCCATACTACCCAAAGCAATCTGTAGATTCAGTGTAATCCCCATTAAAATACCTTGTGCTTATTTCACAGATCTAGGACAAATATTCCAGAAATTTATACAGAACCAAAAAAGATCTTCAATAGCCACAACAATCTTAAAAAAGAAGAACAAAGTTGGAGGGATCACAATACCAGATATCAGACTATACTAAAAAGCCAATGCAATAAAAGCAACCTGGTACTGGCACAAGAATAGACATATAGAGCAGTGGAACAGAGCAGGGACCCCAGAAATTAGTCCAAGCCAATATGGTTAATACTTGATAGAGTAGGCAAGAGCATACAAAGGAGAAAAGACAATCTATTCAATAAATGGTATTGGGAAAATTTGACAGGTACATGCAAAAAAAATGAAACTAGATTATCAACTTACACCATACACAAGAATGAATCCAAAAGGGATAACAGACTTAAATGTAAGTTGCAAAAACCATAAAAATCTCAGAAGAAACCATAGGCATCAAACTCAGACATCTCAAGTAGCAGAATTTTTGCTGATAATATCTCGTAGGGCAAAAGAAATGGGGGAAAAAATAAGCAAATTGGACTATATCAAACCAAAAAGTTTCTGCACAGCAAAGATATCACAAAATGAAAAGGGAGAACATATTTGCCAGTGATATATCCGGTAAGGCGTTAACTTCCAAGATATATAAAGAACTTATACAAAAAAAGGAAGACAATACAATTTTAAAATGGGCAAAAGACCTGCATAGACACCTTTTGCAAAAGGGACATACAGTTGACCCAGAGACATGGAAAAATGCTCAACGTCACTAATCATCAGAGAGATAAAAATGACAGTGAGGTACCATCTCTACCTGGCAGAATGGCTACCATAAAAATCAACCAATGCTGGTGAGGATGTAGGGAGAGGGGAACTGTAATGGAAATGCAAGCTTGTGCAGGCACTATGGAAAACAGTATGGAGAATCCTCAAAAAATTACAAGTGTAACTGCTGTTTGACCCAGCGATCTCATTTCTGGGAATATATTCTAAGAATCCCAAAACACCAATCAGAAACAGTATATGTACCCCTATGTTCATAGCAGCGTTATTTACAATAGCTAAGATCTGGAAACAGCCCAAGTGCCCATAAGTAGATGAATGGATAAAAAAGCCATTGTACATTTACACAATGGAATACTATGCAGCTGTACAAAAAAAAGGATCTTTTACCCTTTGTGACAGAATGGAGGGACCTGGAGATTATTATGCCAAGTGAAATGAGCCCATCAGAGAGAGACAAATATCATATGATTTCACTTATATGTGGAATCTAATGAACAAAATAAGCGGATCAAAAATAGGTCCAGAGACATGGAAGCATGGAACAGACTGGCAGATCTCAGAGGGAAGGAGTGGGGGGAGAAGTGGGAAGAGACTAACTAAAGAACTTGTTATGTATAGCTTATGGATACAGACAGTAGTATGGTGAAGGCCTGGGGTAGGGTGGCAGCCAGGCACATGTGGAAAATGGTGGGACATCTGTAATACCCTCAGTGTTGTGGCCAAAGATAAACTGAGTGGGGGGGGGGGGGAGAAGAGTAGGGGGGGGGGGGGGTGAAAGGATTAAGTAAAGACAGATAAGAGAATGAAAGCTGGGTCTCGGTGAGACAGCGCCAGCGCCCACAAGCCGTGTCTCTATTTTATAGCAGATGCCACGAGGCAAAGTAGGGGCATGATCACATTGTTTACAGCATTCTCTTGAGTTCCAACCCTACTCAACTACATGCACCTGAACTCTACCACAAGGCACGTGGGGTTATGTGTTTGGACCATAGGTTGAAGCTTACAACCACAGCCGTTGGCTATGATTGTGCTGGGTGGGCCCTGCCCTCTAGCTGGGACTTGCACGTGGCAATGAGAGGTTCCTGTCCTTTCATTAGTCTGAGGTTTGAACCTGGCCAAAACACCGTAACTGCGCCCCACACCTCAACAATAAAAATTTAAAAATAAAATTAAAAAAAGAATAAGCTGTTTCATGTACTCAACTGTAAACCTACTTTTGCCCACCCCTGTATATATTTAAAAGCTATTTGGATTGATTCTAATATCTTTCCTTAATTATATTTTGCTACTAATGTATTTTAGGTGATTACATTCTTAGTCCCCTTCCTCCATCGATAGAAATCTTAGAAAACTATAGTCAGAAAAAGAAAGAAACAGAAAGCCATAGTTATTAGCTTTATATTTTATTGGATATTTTTTAAGAGACCAGGCTTTTTGCTTTTATTTTGTGTTTGCTTATCAAAAAGGTTGCATTAACTATTTTTCTTGTTAAAGATAGTAGGGTTATGAGAGTCCTTAAGTGAAAGTTTGGATTTTTATCTAGAAAAATTTTTTTGAAAGCTTTTATATTATAAAAGAAGCATTAAAAAGCATTTTATTTCTGGAAATGTTGTGAATTGTTCTTGTAAGTAGATTGGCTTAATTTGCTTATGTGTTTGTTTTGATGGAAGGTGAGAAATGAAATTTCTTTAGTGGCAGAAGGCTTTCTCCCGGAGGATGGAAGTGGCCACATTGTTGGTATTCAGGACTTGCTGGATCAGGAGTCTGTGTGCATGGCCACGGCTTCTGGAGATGTCATACTGTGCAATCTCAGCACGCTCCAGGTAAGTGCAATATTCCTTGTGGAGGAAGTCTCAAGCATCCTCCAACAGGACTTTCTTTGCATAGAAGTTTAAAAATTCAGGCAATGTACTATTTAAGCATTTTACAAATTACAGTCATTGCAATATATATTTCTTTACCAAAAAATTGTTGGTTTGGCTTCAGCTATCTTTCAGGATTCTTCTAAAACCCAGTTTTGTCTACTGCATTTGTTAATCAGAACAATTACAACCTGGCCATTCTTGTGTGGTGTAGTTCACCTCTTATCAAAATCTGATCCTGAGTTTAACCTATATTTCTCAATTAGAAAGTCTTTGAAATATTTATGATTGCCAAAGGAGATAGATTTCAACCGTTAGCCTCTTTCTCTACTCTAGCAAAAGACTGATTTCTGGATTTCTATCCTTACCTTTTTAACAGCCAGAGTTTCACACTAAAATAGTCTAAGTCTTTTTAAACGTCTTTGATTACTACATGAGTTGTGATCTCTTTAACATTGATTGTGCAATGAGACTTACAGTATTACTAATAATATAATGATAGTAGTAGCAGACATTTAGTCAATGTTTACAATGTGCCAGGCACTTTGTCAAGTGCTTTTCAAGCAGAATTTTATTTAATATTCGCTACAATCTTATGAGATAGAGTGTTTTCCGATTCTTTAGAACTAGAGGAAATTGAGGCACAGAGAGCTTAAGTAAGTAGGCCAAAGTCATACAGTTTTCAGAGGGAATATGAACCCTGGCAATCTAAATCTGATACCTTTGCTTTTAACCATTGCATTTAGTGCAGTAATAAATCTTACTTTCAGTTTATGGTAAGAAACTTAAAAGACATCAAGTACAACTTAAATAGTGTTTCTCACATTTAAAAGGTACCCTTTTATTTTCAAAACTTTCTGTAGCAATTTTTCCTGATTACTGAGCTCCTCTTGTCTATTCATTTAATTAAATGGTGCTAATCCTCCCTATTTGTGGCTTTTCAATGCAAGACAGAATCCATGTTCTTATTGTACCTTTCATATGTGTTTCCCAAATTCTTTTTAGCCTCTTCCCTCCCCCATCATTGTGTGTGTGTGTGTATGTGTATGTGTATGTATGCCTTATGCTCTACTTGCAGCTGTTATTTAATTGCTCTTTTTTTAATTTTGTGCCTCAATATTGCATTTCCCCTGATGTCTTTTTCCTGGCCCTATTATCACCCTTCAAGGCACCTTTCCAGAAAAGCTTTCCTGAACTCCTGGGCCACTAGTGCTTTCTTGCTCTGAGTCTTCACTTAATTCCCAGAAACCTGAATGATAGCTCTAATCCCACTGTAGAGCCATCTTTTCATCTCCTTTGTGAGATAACTCTGGGAGGAATGGCGTGTCCATAGTCACGTCCACTTCCTGTGCCCTGTGTCATGCCTAGTCTCTCAATACCTGATACTGAATAAATGTTTATTGAATATATTCACGGTTGTGTGTTTTGTTTTTAATTATTTTGATTATGGTTATAGTAAATTTTCACTGAGACAGTGGGGTTTTAATCTCTCTTACTTTTTTTCTGTCTGTCTCAGCTGGAATGTGTAGGGAGTGTAGCCAGTGGTATTGCAGTCATGAGTTGGAGTCCTGATCAAGAGCTGGTGCTTCTTGCTACAGGTAAACTTGTTATTGATCTCATCTGACTTTTATAAAACACTAGAGGCCTAGTGCATGAAATTCATGCACTTCAGGGGGTCCCTCAGCCCAGCCTGCACCCCCTTGCAGTCTGGGAGCCCTTGGAAGCTGTTAGTCTGACATCCTTAGCGCTGCCACAGACCCGCCACCGCCGCTGAGCTCGCCAGCCGTGAGCCTGGCTTCTGGCTGAGCAGTGCTCCCCCTGTGGGAGTGCAGTGACCACCGGGGGCAGCTCTTGCATTGAGTGTCTGCCCTGTGGTGGTCAGTGCACATCAGAGTGAGTGGTTGAGCGACCTTAGCATATCATTAGCATATTACACTTTGATTTGTTGAATGGACAACCGGACCCTTCGCATGTTAGGCTTTTATTATATAGGATGGCTCCTAATATCTCACAGGGTTAAGCTGTGTAGGTTTCAAAAATTTTCTTTGAACAATTATACCAGTGTTACAATTTAGAGAGGACTTTTATGTTAGCTTTACAACATAAATAGCTGAGAATAAGCATCACGTCAAAAGCTCTTTGCTTTTATGAGAGTCAAACATTTAGAATGAATTCTGTCTGTACTGTTCTGACTATAAACTCCTTCACACCAGCTCTGTAGCTTCCGGTGCCATTGTAACTTATGGAATGGCAAATTTGTTGTATGAAAATGAAATCATTCTTGTTTGTGCCCCTTCAAGGTCAACAGACTCTGATTATGATGACAAAAGACTTTGAACCGATCATGGAGCATCAGATCCACCAGGATGATTTTGGTGAAAGTGAGTTTAGCTTTGTTTGAAATGTCTTATGATCCGAGTTCCACTCAAGTTTGATCATTGTCTTGCGCACTAATCTCCATGTCATAGCCCAAAGGACTATAATGTTTGAACTTCCATTCATTAAGTGTCTGATTGCCCAGTTCCTTTGACCCACTTCTGATCTTGAAAGGCATACTTCAGTGCCTCTCCCTGTCTGAGAGTTAGCTTTGTCAATAATCTGGGGAATAGAAATCTATGCTTAGGGTCATCTTGATAATTGTTGCTAAGGAAAGGGATTATACTAGCTAGACCAGTGATGGCGAACCTTTTGAGCTCAGCGTGTCAGCATTTTGAAAAACCCTAACTTAACTCTGGTGCCGTGTCACATACAGAAATTTTCGGATATTTGTAACCATAGTAAAACAAAGACTTATATTTTTGATATTTATTGTATATATTTAAATGCCATTTAACAAAGAAAAATCAACCAAAAAAATGAATTCACATGTCACCTCTGACACGCGTGTCATAGGTTCGCCTTCACTGAGCTAGACAGAGGTGGGGAACGTCCAGCTATGGGCTGTATAAGGCTGCAAAATCATTTGGCCTGGCCCTGCCAAGACATTAGGAATGAGTTAATGTTTGACCAAATGATGTTATAAATATCCAAATGGCCCTTGACAGAAAAAAAGTTTCCTCACTTCTGAGCTAGAATGAGAAGGGCATTTCTGGGGTACAACTTTGGGGAGAAAACAGGAAAGATTTTTAATTTTTGCTGAGGTCTAATTTCATGCCTTCTTATTCCACCAACTCTGAGAAGTCATTTAGAAAATGGCTACTCATTTATTCATTCAAAAGTAATTTATTTGTTCAGTAATAATTTTGGGGTCGGTATGAACCCAGCAGTGTAGGTGCTGTAGAGAATTTGGCTTTTCTCTTAAGGAGTTCCATTAGTTCACTGACAACTAGGGTAGCATAAAGGGAGGAAGGGAGTAATGGAGAGGGAAGACTTCACAGACGTGGCTACTGCAGTTGGTCTTGGGTAAATGAGGGGGGAGGAGAGGGAAGTGGACCAAACAAGTGAATAAACACCTTCCAGGGCAAGGTGTTTCCCGGAAGCCTTTGACACATCATAACTTTTTCAGACAACTGTGAATACTTAAGCATTGATGGTTGGCAGGACGTGAATGTGGAATGAAATAAACAGGATGGATGTTGATTACGTTTGGTAGGAAGGGAATTTGAACATTGAGTTACAGATGATCAGCCATTAAAGGTTTTGATGATACAAGGTTGAGTGATTGGTGCAGAAGGAAGAGGAAGGGTGACCTGGCAAGAGGTTGCCATAGGAATATAGGTGAGGGATAAAGAAGGTGGGTGGTGGGGCCAAAAGAGGGAATAAATTCAGGAAACATTTGATTCTCAGTGAGGATGGAGTACATTTTTTGGAATTATCTGAGCAACTCTTTTGGAATATGTGTTCATGGTTCTCTCCTGCCCTAGCCAGTTTGAAAAATACCAGTTTAGAAAGTACAATTGTAGGCTTTGGGTATGTAGGTGAAGAAGAACGTTTAATGCAGTGGTTCTCAACCTTCCTAATGCCGCGACCCTTTGATACAGTTCCTCATGTTGTGGTGACCCCCAATTTCATTGTTACAAATTGAACATAATTAAAGCATAGTGATTAATCACAAAAACGATACGTAATTAAATATATGTGTTTGCCAATGGTCTTAGGTGACCCCTGTGAAAGGGTCGTTTGACCCCCAAAGGGGTCGTGACCCACAGGCTGAGAACGCTGGTTTAATGGGACTCCAGCCTGAAGCTCAGATGGTGAGAATAAAGGTACCAGGATTTGAGAGGGAAGGTGGGATGTGCTGGACTGTAAGGTGTAGGTGGTGAGTTATGTTTTTGGTTTGTTTCAGGGGTACATGGTATCACTATGTGCAGTAGGCAAATATAAGGGGCCAAATCATTGGCATGCAGGAATCTTTACAATCTTGGGAGTAGGTGAAGTTGCTCAGGGAGCAGGTATGATCCTGGATGAGTGCAGGATCTAGGTTGGGTCTCTGGGGCGTTCAGCTTTGAGGACAATCGTAGAGATAGATAGTAACCAGCACGCCTTTGCTTGGGAAGGTGCCCTGGGCCTAGCTAATCCCACCTACTTTTTCATAATGTTGACTGCTGGTCAATTTATTGAGAGGTCTCAGAGCACCCAAGTAATTACAGTCCCTAACTTCTTGAAACCAGCAATGAAACTGCTTTTATTTAATTTCATTTAGCTCACTGGTTTTCTTGCATGTTCTCAATCATTTGTTCTCTAGACAAGTTTATCACAGTTGGATGGGGCAGGAAGGAGACCCAGTTCCACGGATCAGAAGGCAGGCAAGCGGCCTTTCAGGTGCAAATGGTAAGGTTGATCTGATGGATAAAGACGCTTAGAGGCTAATAAGGGACAGATGTCTTGTGCTTTTTAGTAAAGCTGACGATGTTCAGAAAACCTCAGGGAATGAGTCATCCTAGGAAGATCCTTCTTTTTTAATGCCAGTTGCTTCACCTTTTTTTTTTTCACTGTATGGAATAATTATAACCAATATTCAGTGTAAAAAATAAACCACAGATAGAAATAAAACACTTCATGTATCTCTTCTTGATATGCAGAAGAACTGTTTTTGTACTTTCCTACACATGTAGATATTAGATTTTTTTCCTGATTTTTCCTTTTGGATGAAACTTACTTTCCTTCATTCTGGATACATTTTGAAGGTAGAGCTACAAGATTTATTAATAATAGATCAGGTGTGGGGTGTGAGAGAGTGGAATTGAGGATGATTTGGGGCTTGAGCAAATGAAAGCATTGTGTGTATATTATATGCAGAAATTTCCATGAACTGCCCTTATAGGATAAATGAGTCATGTACTGCCTGCCAGGTACATTTTTCATCTTTCATTATTTCTAGCTGCATTTTGTGAATCGTATTTCATCTCTTAATCCTGCACCTGAGGAAGTTTGTGTTCTCTACCATAGTTTCGTTTCGCCTAGAATGAATCTGGTTAGGCTGCCAGTGTATTCCCTGGGGAGCAGAAGGTGGCACCATTCTGACTTAACCTGTCACAGGAATGGATGATGGCTGCTCAGGCGGAGTGTTCCCCAACCCCGCAAAGTTGGTTTCTGTCTTGAAGGCCATCAGGATTGAGATGCAGGTGGCACTGGACTGTGTTCATCATTGCTGCTGCCTTTATTACCTCTGGCTCCACTCTTCTGTGCACTGTTGTGAAGCTTACACAACAAATAGAACTCTCTCTCTGTTCTGTTTATATTTAGACAAACAACATTTATTTTCTTGTTGAAGTTACCTGGTAGATTCCTCAACTCATTGGTGTTAATATCTCGATTGGTAGCTTGCTTCCTGTTGCTTGAAGGCCATTTTTTTTAATGCCCAAAGAAGAATTTTGTTTTGTTTGAAGTTCTTTTCTATTAGTGATTTCTGCATCTAAGGATCCTTTCATTAGAAGAGTTCCTGAGGTTTCTGTGGAGCTGGTTTTTTCTAGGTAGCTTAATATCATATGAAAGATTGACATTCAATAGCCTGAGGCTTGTTTGATTCTGGGCCATTTAAGGCCCCCGTGACATTTGTCTTTCCTCATCTCTTTAGATTGAGTCTGCTTTGCCCTGGGATGACCAAAGACCACAAGTCACCTGGCGTGGTGATGGACAGTTTTTTGCCGTGAGTGTTGTTTGCCCAGAGACAGGTATGGAAATAAATTGTGTTAAACAGACAAACAAACAAAAAGTTTATCTTATTAAATTCAGGAAAGTTTATTCTCTCTTTTTTTAGGTGGTACTCAGCATTTTAAAGATATTTTAAAAATTGATTCTTAGAGATAGAGGAAAGGAGAGGGAGAGAGAGAGAGAAACATCAATGTGAGAGTGAAACATTGATCTGCTGCCTGCTACACAATCTCCACTGGGGATTGAGCCCACAGCACAGGCAGCCTTTTGGTGTATGAGAATCCAACTGGCAACATTTTGTTGCATGGGATGCCGCCCAACCAACTGAGCCACACTGGCCAGGGCAATTTTTTCTTTCTCAGTGAGAATTTTCTTTTATTACATAAAGATATACTTTAGATGTTAATGAATTTAGAACTAAGAATTAGAAGAGTTCTTTGAGGCTATTTTATCCAGCCTCCTCTGTGTTGGACACAAATTTTTACCAAGATTAATCTAATTTGTTTGTAAAACTATGACAGTTTTTGTTAATAAGGGGGATGTTTGAAAAGTTTCAGTTTGACAGTACTTATCATAATGCTTTAAGTTTGTTTGTTTGTTGTTTTGTTTCCTCTGTACCTACTGCATAGGGGCTCGGAAGGTCCGAGTGTGGAACCGTGAGTTTGCTTTACAGTCAACCAGTGAGCCTGTGGCAGGACTGGGCCCAGCTCTGGCCTGGAAGTGAGTGGGAGAAGAAATCTAACTCCTTCCTCAGAATTTTTGGAACTGAGGGTGGGGGTAAGGGGAAGAGATCAACCAAAGGACTTGTATGCAAACATATAAGCCTAACCAATGGACACAGACAGCAGGGGGGTGAGGGCATGAGTAGGGGGATGGGGAAGCAATTGGGGGGGTGGGATAAGGACACATATGTAATACCTTAATCAATAAAGAAAAAAGAATACAAAAAAAAATTCTTGGAACTGGGGTAGAGGTGGTATCTATTGAATGTGGGTGTTTATATAAAACAAAAAGAGAATTACTTTTTTTCATTTGGCTGTAAGCCTGTATGTTTTTTTCTTTTTTAGTTTCCTGAAGTCTGACTTCAATTTGAATAGTAGATTCTGAGTTTCTTCGCAGATCTCACAATTCCGAGGCTCATACGTTTTGTAGGTTATAGGCAGGGTCTCCATGAAGCCATTGTATAAAAGAGAAAATGGTGCTTAGGAGGGAAGTCGCTGTATGCACAGCTCTGTGGGCAGTGGGGCTCTGGTGAGGACTAGGGAGAGGGCTTCCTCTCTGTGCACAGTCTCCCACACCACGGGAATCTGTTTGCATGGGGAATGTGCAGGGTGTGTCCAGCCTGATTCTCTTGGCCCTGCACCCTTTTGTGGCCACAGCCTGCTTGTGACTGTGGCTGCCCTTAATATAGAGGATGTGTCCCATCCACTGTCTCAGTAGCATCTGCTATATGCAAAGCCACGAGGTCTGTGGGTTTTAGATAGCTCATTTCCCACCAGTATTTGAGTAGCAGTTGGATGATAGAGCAAAGAGAAAAATGTATTTGAATTAAAACCTAGAGATGAGGTGATTGAGAAGTCTTTACAAATCCTGCCTGAGCATGGAATATTTGCTGAAGTTATCTACTTGAAGGAGAAATAGGTTATGGTGTTATGGACATTATACATGCAATGATTTAAATAAAGTATTGGCTTTTTAAAAAGTCACCCAAGTGCCTTCTAAATCTGAGGCTTTGGGGGCAAGTGGAGGCTTTGTGCAAATTAGGAAAAGGCACTCTTTCTCTGGGCAGGCATAGTCTCTCACTAGAGTGACTGCTTACCTAGTGACATGGAATTTGAAACTTCCTTGGATGCTTTTTGTTTTTGCTGAAAAAAATAATTTCTCCTGATTTTATCTCGTTAAAAGCTAGCTGCATGTACTTTGGGGCCTTCTAACACCCTCTGTTTGCTTTAAGGCCCTCGGGCAGTTTGATTGCATCCACACAAGATAAACCCAACCAGCAGGACGTGGTGTTTTTTGAGAAAAATGGACTTCTCCATGGACAGTTTATGCTTCCTTTCCTCAAAGATGAGGTGAAGGTAGGTGCCTGAGTTGTTTCAGAATCAAATTTAGGGACTTTCCACAGCTATAGAGAAGGTTTATATTGGATATGGGCATGTGTGTAAATAGAAGCTCCCGTGTACGTAGTAATAGAAATAGTGGCTTCTTATAACTAAGTTTTTTTATGGGGTTTTTTCTTCTTAAAAAACGAGAAATTCTTTTTCTTAGAGATTTTTAAAGAAGAAATGGTATTTCTTTCCCACCCTACATAAAACATGGACAAGAAATAGAAATGCTAGTTTTTATTGTTTATTTTGACAAAAGTACAATTCTTCCAGCAATAAAGATGCCTTTCATTCATAACATTGAAACCTTAAGCAGCGTATGTACCATTAGGATCTTTGTTGGAGCAGATACACATCCAATGGTACTTTTAATTAAAGACACTAAAAGTGGAGAGAAGAGGTGGATGACCTCCCATGTACCTATTATTTGTAAGATGCCAACATTTTGCAAAATTATTTTATCCACCTCTCTCTGGCCCTCACACACAAACACACATTCACACACATTTTTATTTTCTTTCCTAGGGTTTTTTTTTTTAATTGTAGGAAATGTACTTTTAATATTTTTTTCTAACAGTTAAGAACATTTTTCTTTAAACAACCATAAGTAACCACAATTACATTATCATAGATTACAAAATTAGCAATCATCCCTTAGTATTATCTAATCCAGCCGTGGGCAAACTACGGCCCAAGGGCAGGATCCGGCCCATTGGGCTGTTCTATCCGGCCTGTGGAGCCGAAAGAGAGGAGGGTTCTCTTGCTCTCCCCTCCGCTCCTTCACCAGCAGCAGTGTTAACATGGCAACGTCGGGAAACACGGCCGCAGCTCCTTCTTCTGAGTCCAGTTTAAGAACCCATTGTGGCCCACCCCTGATCCTTAGTCCATAGTCAGATGTCTCTGATTGACTAAATGTCACTTGCATTTAGTTGTTAAATCTCTTTTAATCTTTAAGCATAATGCATTTTCTAGAGTCCTCTGCATATGAGGACAGACTACACAGATTTGTTTAATGACTCTGTAGGTTAATAATTTATAGCTAGGGCTCTGCTCCAGGAGAGGATTGTTTGGTTTGTGAGAGCAGAGAATTCTGGTATCATAAAGATTTTGAAGTAAATACATAGTTAAAGGACAATGACAGGTCTGTTTTCCCTACTAGGTCAATGACCTGCTCTGGAACGCAGATTCCACTGTGCTTGCAGTTTGGTCAGAAGACCTTCAGAGGGAAGAAAATTCCACTCTAAAAACCTATGGTAAGACAGCACTGTTTCAGCCTTTTGCCCCATAAAATATAGTTGTAAGTAGATGTGGAGTTGCCTTTATCCCTTCTACTTAGTCCTGCAGTGGAATAAAAGTTGGTGGAGAGGGGTAGGTGGAGATGGGCCAGTGGTTAGGTTTAGATTATTTATGGTTTCAGTCATGCCTCAGTCACGGGTCTTTAGAGAAACAGAATCAGGGCAGGCCAACAGGCTGGCAATTCAGGTAGGACTTGATGTTTGAGTCTTATCTGAAATTTATAGGACAGGCCTGCAGTATGCAGACGGGCAGGATCCTACTTTACATTTTTGAGGTAGAATTCCTTTTTCTCCAGGAAACCCTTGCTCTTTAAGGCCTTTAATTCATTGGATGAAACCTGCTCATTGTGGAGGATAATATGCTTTATTTAAAGTCAACTGTTTGTAGTAGGGCGAAATGGGTAAGGGGGATCAAATATATGGTGACAGGTGGAAACTAGAATTTGGGTGGAAGCACTCTACAGTATATAGAGATATCAAATTATAACGTACACCTGAAAAATATATAATACTAGAGGCCCGGTGCACAAAAATTTGTGCACTCGGGGGGGAAAGAGGGGTCCCTCAGCCTGGCCTGTGCCCTCTTGCAGTCTGGGACCCCTCGGGAGATAACACCCTGCTGGCTTAGGCCTGCTCCCAGATGGCAGAGGGCAGGCCCAATCCCTAAGTGCAGCCCCTGGTCGGGCTCAGAGCAGGGCCGATTGGGGGTTTGGGAGCCGCCCCATGTCATGCACGGAGCAGGGCAGATCG